TGGCACTGCAACATCACGAACGTAATTTCGCCACACGGTCTGCCCATGCATACACTAGAAGCAAACATATCACATGATCCCACCAATCATCTCGCTCACCAGCGACACGCCGCGTTTACACCAGCGTGCTTCGCGCTCCCCAGTGGCACGTACTTCAACATCTTACATTTCCACACGTTTCCACGCTATTTCACACGCATCTGACACGTCACGTTTTCATCCGAAACCCTCTCCAAAAGCTTCCCCCAATGGCAGCGCCTTAGCGCCCTACCGCGAACGGGTTGCGGACGGTTGCGGACGCAGAAACAACACGTCGCGAACAAGGCTCTATACCCCCAGACCCCCAGAGTTAAACGAGAACCCTTCGCTACGCACTCGGAAAAAAGGGTATATATAAAGAAACATGAAGAGAAAATTTTATATACAGTATATCAATGAATTTGGATCAAATGCGCAGGTCTCAAGCTTCAAAGCAGTTGGTGAAGCTAGTCAAGAATTGCCGTGCAAAAAATATGTACTTCGAAATCTCAACGGCGGCGCTCACAAGTACCTATATAGGTGCCTCTACTCTAGTCAGGAGAGAAAGTTGCGCTCATACGACGCCCATTTCATGCCGTGGCGTTCAGGAAAGAGTCAACCGCTAATCAACACTTGCAGCTCTTTTGTGCCAGTGACCATCTGTGACCCCTTGTTTTCCCAGCTCACAAGCCTGTCTGAGAATCGATGTCCCTCCAAGTCCACACTCCTGTTTGAGTGGCGCGGATGACTTTGATTCTGTCTTTGGAGAAATGAAGGTGTACAGGGCTGAAGGTGTACAGGGCTAAAGTCAAGTCGGAAAAAGAACGGTGAGCGAGTAGTCAGGAAAGGGGTGGCTGTTAAGCGCTTCAAAAGATTCGTTGTGCCTTTGTCGATTTGGTCGTATCGTTTCAGGCTGGTATACGGTCCACTCTCTTTCGCCAGCGAGCCGGAAAGGGCCCAGCTGCGTGGCGGCAGCAGGTGCAAATCCCGCAGTCGCTACCACGGCGACCCGGTCCAAACAAGAGCAAGGGAGAGAGCGAGCGAGCGAGCGAGCGAGCGCGAGCGAGCGAGCGCGAGCGAGCGAGAGAGAGAGAGAGAAAGAGAGAGAGAGAGAGAGAGTGTGGGTAGCACGGCATGAAAAACAGCTAAGCGCGCAAACCTCGCCCTTTTGCCTTTGCGGGCGCGGCCAGCCCCGGGGCTGGTATTGAACCGTCGGTGAGCGACCATGTGTGTCACGTGGTCGAAAAGCTAAACAAGCGCAGTCAAGGGCAGCCACTACACACAGGCTCCCAACACTTTCTGTTGGCTGCACTGTGTGAAATCAAGCTCCCCGCTCCGGAGGAATTGGTACAAGGGTTCTTTGTTTCCGAACCTCTTGGTCAAGCAGTCGGCTATCATCTTCTCATTGCTAATCCACTGTACAGTGGCGCCGGTCTGGGTACAGTGGCGCCGGTCTCCTGCGTACTCTGCCTAACCAGCTGCATCTCGATGGGCGTGCGTCGGTCATCTGTTGCGCCCACTGTGGACTTGACCAAATGGTTGAACAACGACTTGGCGTCCACCAAACCTAGTCCCTGCCGTAGGGTCTCATCGAGCCCCTCTTTGGCCATGGCGGTGAGTCGCCGTCGCTTGGCATTCTTCTCCCACTCCTTCAAGTCGAAGTCTATGTCATCCAGTTCATTGTACACGGTGATGCTCCATGCCAACTCTTGTAGGCCCTTGGCGAGCGCCTGAGTTTCAGCTGCCAATGTGGAATTGCGACGACGCGATGGATTTTCGCTGACTTCCAGTACAGCAGGTTCCCGCATCCAGTGCGCTTTGGAGCTCCAAGTCCTTGTTGTAGCACAGGATTCCAAACCCACCTTGCGATGAGTATGTCTCGGTGTTTGCATACGAGGCGTCTGTGATGACTCCAAAGCTCAGCTTCTCCTTCTCAATCTTCCTGATCGTTACCGTCAGGTTGGCGTGAGCCTTCGCCTCAGCAATCACCTTTTTGAGGTCAATCACGTCCTGGACCTTCAGCTTGTTGAGGCAGCTTGCCAAAATGGACGCTCCAGCAGCGCAGTCTGGGCGGCCCTCCTTGGCGGCCCATGTCAATGCTCCAATGGAAGCCCTTGCATCACTTCGTTCTTTCTTTCGTCCCTTCAAAGTGAATGGGACGGGACGCAACCTCTCCAAGATGAACTTCTCCATGTCTACTTAGGTGTCACTTTTTGATTTGTAAATACTTCTAAGTCATACTTACGAAAGTTATGTAAGTCTGAAAAAGGACTTACAGAGAATTTACAAAGATTTACAAAAACCACGTTTGGAGACTGCTTTGGCAGCACTTGCAGCGTGTGGAAATTTGCATGCATAAAGCCGTAAAATTCTTGTTTGAAACTACGAAATTATGATATCTATGTAGCCGCACGTTTTCTGGATACATATTGTATTTCTTTTGGTCTAAATATGAAACGTACCTGTCAATGTGCACATATCACATCCTGTATATATACTGAAGATTCTTGGGTTTTGCTTTTCATATTTCGGTCATTACCGATTGTCGGTCGTTACCGAAGGTTGACATTGACCGTGGCATTTGGTTTATAGTCAGGGGGTTCGGATTTCAGCTCGAAGGCACCTTCAGATATGGGGGACGAAGAGAAGCCGGTGTCTTTACCCATTGAACAGTACTTTGGCAGTTTTGAGACACACGCAAACATAGCGTACATATTTTCCATTTTAAGCACGACTCGAAAAATCACTTGTGGGAACGGTCATTACCGTGGGTCTTGGATTAGGGTCATTACCCAAAACCACCCCATACCACCCCATAACACCCCATACCACCCCATACCACCCCATACCACCCTATACCATCCCTAAACCATCCCCATACCATCCCCATACCATTCCCATACCACCCAAGGTATCCCCATACCATCCCCATACCATCCCCATACCA